AATTTGTACATGAAGAATATATGGAATTAGAACCACCATTGAAAAAGATGGATTTAATAATATCATTATGTTCATACAAGGCTGAATTATTGGCACTTGAAGCAGGGAATGCTGAAGGTCCCATGGATTAAGGCTCCACATGAGCCAGCTCGCAAGCCAAATAACTTAGTAGGCTTGCAAGCCAGCTCACAAGCTGAATAAGTTTTTCGGCTTGCAAGCTAGCTCGTGAGGAGCTTTACCATGGATGATACCAAGTTCCGGCAAGATCATTCTAAAATCAAAATAGTAATGAAGGACTGCCTTGATTCCTTTTGGAATAAATTGCATTTTAAAAAAAATGAACTTGAAGAGGTCTTTGTAATGGGCATTCAGATTACAGGTATGTGTAAAAATACATCTTATTTATTTAGTGCAATTTGTTTTTCTGTTAAAAATTTTCTTATTTGGTATAGGCACAAGGTGGACGATCTATTCCCTTGTATACAATACTTCAAAAAAAATTTATTTTTTTACTGAGATGGTGACATTGACATTGCCAACATGCCAACAATTTTATCTGAGATGGAAGACCTTTTGCCAGATTTCTTGGAAAATCTTCTAGCATTACAGGTATACATGATATATTTGCCTTTCCAATCATTCCACCAGTGTTCACATTATTTTTATATTTATTATTTAGCATACACAAATAGAACTGGTTGCAAAGATTCGAAAATATTCTCAAAAAAGACTCTCTACTCCATCTCCACCCTCATCACCATTGCACGAAACTAAAGAGTCTCCCTTGAAAAAACAAAAAACTAAAGAAAGATCCTTTTCGTATCTTAGACAACTTATACTAAATAAAATAAATTAGTATGTCATTGTCATATATAATTTCAATGCACATATTTAATATTTATTGTAAATTTTAATCTTGTGGATGGTTAAATAATCAATATTAAGCTTAACATGTACATATATTATTATCTACATAAACAATAGAAGCATATAAACTTTACTCAATAAGGACCAATTCTCAAAGTTGCTCCAACTACTATTGCTATTGTTATTGTTAGTAGTGTTATTACTACCACTACTGCTACTATATCGCTATTGCTACTCCTATTGCTATCGGTACTAAAGACACTTACTGTAAATGATTGGACGGGTAGCTACCATTGACGTAAATAGCTTTTGGTAGCTACCATTTGTCATAATGACTGTGATTGCTGTGAATTATTATAATAATACGGTATATTCATTACCAGTAATCACTATAGAAGAATAGCTAGTGATTAATGTAAAAAGAAATTACACCGTCAAGACTTTCCAGCAAATATTTTTTCTTATTAATATGTATTCCTTGTATAAATCCGCGTTTATTCAAAATGGTGTTACTTTTTCGCTTCAAAGGTGAAATTATTTTTCAATACTGTAAAGTCTCGAAAGATAGCACTCGTGATGTTGCCTTTTATGGTTAGATTTTTCATTTGTCACGTATAATGTAAAATCATGATATTATTTTAGTATTGCAATTGAGAAAGTCCCTTTAGAATATTTAACCAATAACTTAATTACAATATAAAAGGACTATTGGTTTATTAAATTAAGCCAATAATTAACTAAAAAAATAGGATTAATATCTGATAAATATTGTCACTTTCAATATTTACTAATAGGCTTTTAGAATATATGAATATATGATAAAATACTAAGAATATTATTTTTAGACGTTTTATTTTTTGTAACACAAGATGTGTAACATGTAAATAATAAAAATTTTCTTCGATTTTTTTTATACATTCATCAATATGAGTGAATTTGAAAAGGTAAATTAATAATTTAACTCGTGAATTAATTTTATTGTTTTTTTTAATACTATTATATCTGATTTTGAAAAAAGGCTGTTATTATTGATGCTAAAGGACATTTATTAGGACGTTTAGCATCAATTGTGGCCAAACAAATTTTAACAGGTCAAAAAATTGTTATTGTCCGTGCAGAAGATTTAAATGTATCTGGATCATTTTTTAGAAACAAGAGTAATTAAATCAATAATTCTTTTTGACTTTCTTTTTAAAAACTTCTGTTTCATTGACCTTAATGCAAATATAAACTCACACATATATAAATATAGTCAAGTATCATTCCTATCTTCGCAAGCGATCAATTGTAAATCCAGCACGTGGACCATTTCATTTTCGGGCACCATCCAAAATCTTTTATAAGACAATACGTGGTATGATTCCACATAAATCATCACGTGGAGCTGCAGCATTAAAGCGTCTTAAGATCTTTGAGGGTATACCACCACCATATGATAAACAAAAAAGAATGGTAGTACCTGATGCTTTGAAAGTTTTGAAATTGAAACCAGGTCGTAAATTTACAACAATTTCACGTTTATCAAAAGAAGTTGGATGGAAATATAAAGAAGTTGTTGAGAGATTGGAGGAGAGACGTAAAGCCAAGAGTAAAGAATTTTATGAACATAAAAAGAAAGAAACTCAAATCAAGGCCAATGCTCTAAAGAACAAAGAAAAAGAGTTAAAGAAAGTTCAACAACAACTCAATGCATTTGGTTATTAATTTATTTGTTTAATTTACAATAATAAAAAATAATTTTTATTCAATTCGTTTACATTCTCTCTTTAATCATTTAAGCATGCATTTCCTTGAAATTTTTCGTTTTGAAATTTTATCATTAAAAAAAAAAGAATAGCATAATGTTTTTATTTTTACTTAATATTTAAACAGTTCAAATTATACCAATGTTTAATGTAATTAATGGATGATTTGTTTAATAACAGGTCAACATTTGCTTCTCATACAAGAACAAAATCATTGGTAAGGGTAAATTCAATTAAATAATATTAATAATAATTTAATTAGAGGCAACAATTAAAGTTGACATTTTTGATTGCAATTCCAGAAAAGATATATATATGAATTCATATGGTAATTAATGTTACACTAACATCGAGTTTATAATACATACTAATATCATTTATACATTTAAAGATTTCAATCAATCAAACACCACTATTTATTTTTATTTTGATGTTTTAGGATGTACTTGGTTTCTTCTTCTTTTCTGCCTCTGCCTCTTTCTCTTTCTCAATTTCATTTACTATAACTTCAACCTCTTCAATTTCCAAACTCTGTATGTTTATGAATTATAATAATATTAATAATGATTAAAACCATTTTGATTAAAATTACATAAACCTATAAAGATCTAGTAATAGTAATAATACCAAAAATTGTTAAAGGGTTGTTTACCTTAATTATAGCATCATTAGTCATCACTGCAATCTCGATATTTTTGGCACCAGTTTGCACAACCTAATAAATTATAAACTGTTATTATCAAATATATATACACATACACATCTATATATAATAATTATCATACTTCTAAGAGAGATTTGACAGCCAATTTTATAGTTTCATCTTTTGATAAACCTTCTTTATAATTTTTTTCCAAAAATTCACGAACAGTTTTTGAACTCCTTCCAATTGAATTTGCCTTTTGATTTTTTTTTAAAAATTTTTATCAAATTTAAAAAACTCTTTTAATTAAAACATTTAAAAAAATAAGCAGCATTTGTAATGTTTACCTTCCATGCTGAATATA